AAGTGTGAGTATTACTCTACTGGGCGAAAAGAGCCAGATACTTACTCAATACTCGGGTCAGTACTCATAGTACATACTATACTAACCATTCCCGTGGTTTTTTTTTCCTCTCTAGCTGATGACGATGGATAGCACCCCCCCCTGTCTAGCTGGTGACAATGGATAGCACCCCCCCCTCACGGCTGACGATGGATACCACCCCCCTCGCACCACCCCCACCTTTAGCGAATGATGATGGATACCACCCCCCTCTCTAGCTGGTGATGATGGACCGCCCCCCGTTCTTCTGTTGTTGTTGTTGTTGTTGTTGTTGTTGTTGTCTTCACATTAAAAACCATCCCGGTCTCTCTATCCAGTACCTCCTTCTGTCTCAATCTCTCCGTACCTATCCAGCACTTGACTCGGTCAATTTCCGTGGTCACAGGCTAACATACCTAGAAAAAGTATACCAAAATAAAATGGACACCAAAATAAAATGGACCCCAAGGGTTAGCAGAGCGATAAAATACAAGAAAACAAAAGAACCAGAAACAAATAAATAATGTACGACGAGAAAATCACACGAGCCAACCAATGAACAGACGCACGAGCCTACTGCAGGTACTTTGTGCAACCACCACAAAAAACTATTCCACCTCCAACTCTAGTAGACATATTCACCACTCCTTTTCAAGCAGTCCCCTCCCAGCAACAGGATCCCTACTGTATCAAGTTGCCGCCAGCACCGGGGCTCGTCTACAACCCCGAGCACCGTTGTCGATCCATAACAGAAAAGCGAAAAACCAACGCTACATTGTTCTCAGCGGAGGGACATTTAAGAGGGCAATCAATCACATCGCAGGGAAGGGTGCCCCCCTCGACCTGTGCATCAGTGAAAGATCAAGCAGTATCTCGACCAATAACAGCTCATCAACCCACTTGTTGGTACTGCTACAATGGGAGACACTGGTAGCCATCCATCACAAAAGAAAAAGAGGCGCAGCTTCCTACGTCAACCCTCCCTGGCTTTAGAGCAAATATCTCAGCCTAAAACTGCTGTATGGGCTGAAAAATTAATTCCGACATTATCGATCAAATCAGTGTGACCGCGGTGCCTCGCGGGTCATCCATACCAAAATGAGACAACAACAGAATGCCACACCACCATCAATATTCATCATGCAGGGACGCCTCATGCATCTACCTGCACGACGAGTTGCTAAGATGAGCATGGGCGAAGCAACGTTGAGTTTCGTAGGCTGCCTGCGTAACAGCTACAACCACAAGGGGGCAGTGTGTAGGAGGACCCGATTCGCAGGGTATCCGTCGATTGACTTTTACCTGAATCGGTACACCTTCGCTTATGGCGTCAGCGACAGGATACTGGTTCGAATCTCCTTGGGTGCACACTTTTTCTCCTGACTTGGATATTTTCCCAAGGACACAATGTGTGTCAGTCCTGAGAACACCTCTTGGAGTCGATCCTACAAAGAACCTTGTGACACTTCCATCGAATTACCCATCCTGGCCACAAGAGGTTCCCAGTTGAGGGTAAATTCTGTGGGTGGAGAGTGTTAAGGAGGACCCGATTCGCAGGGTATCCGTCGATTGACTTTTACCTGAATCGGTACACCTTCGCAGCAGCAAGCAAATCAGGAAAAAGCAAGACACACACACGCCCGGAGAAAAAGGTTACGTTCAACAATTTCTGACAACAGTTGCATCGTCGGGCATTCGGAGGCAGCATTCCAGGAAAAAATAACCGATCGCACACAGGGTCTCACTAAATAAATCCTGGTCTAGGATGAAAGCGACGCGCTGCAAAGCTCGTTTGTTAGTAAACCATGATCGACTTCGTAAGTCGCGAGGGAAGGGATTGCTGTACGCTTCTCGCGATAAAAATACCTCAGGCCTGAACCGCAGGATGGGGTCCGACCCCCCCCTCCTATGTGACCCCGGTTGGGTCGTCTAGCTAGTAGAAGTGGAGGATAGGGGCCAGAGGGGCAGACGACAGAGTCCAATGATGGGAGAAAAAAAAAAAAAAGCGGGGGGAAAGACAGTTTTGATAGACAGCAAAGCAACACGCCGGAATATTCAAAGCGCTTCGTACGCGACGTCCAACTCTTCTACTTCCATCGCGGCCACGGCAACTTCACTCGCCACTTTCGATGCGCATTTTTTCACATGATGCCCTCTTCCTCCGCACCTCTGGCAGACCTGTTGAAGGCACTCGTGGGCATAGTGGTTTGCGGAGCAGATGTGGCAGCGGACAGACTTTTTTTTCGGCGTCACCATCACTCGCTACGCATGCCTGTTCATCCCCTCCGTTTTTCTTCCTCGACCATCGCCTCCTCCTAGACCCCTTCCCGACTGCTACGAACGCATGTTGCACTCGCCCGTCAACCTTCCCCGTTGACCTCAATGTCTCGGCTATCGTTCAGAGCATGCATCATTCCGCACGTTTGCGTTTGCATACTCGACCGGAGCGGGCGGCGGGGGAGAGTCACGAGGGGGAAGGCACGCCCCTCCCGGCGCTGGTCGTGTGGATCAAGCGCCGACCACCGGACATAGCAGCTAAACTTCGATGGCCAAGAAAAGAACTGGCTAATGTTCAAGAACGACTTCACGTTTGGTTCGTTTACATTAGCCAGTTCTTGTCTTGGCCATCGAAGTTTAGCTGCTTGAGGCGCGGGATCCGGGCATTCATGGTTGGGTCGTACCGTGCCAGCGGGTCACTGGTTGCGCTATCGTGCGAGACGTCCCCCACAGACGGCAGCGTGGGTCCTTGCGGGGCTGTGTCCGGCAGTCCTCGTGCTCCCTCGAGCCCCTGTCCGGTGGTCGGCGCTTGATCCACACGACCAGCGCCGGGAGGGGCGTGCCTTCCCCCCCATGACTCTCCGNCAGACGGCAGCGTGGGTCCTTGCGGGGCTGTGTCCGGCAGTCCTCGTGCTCCCTCGAGCCCCTGTCCGGTGGTCGGCGCTTGATCCACACGACCAGCGCCGGGAGGGGCGTGCCTTCCCCCCCGTGACTCTCCCCCGCCGCCCGCTCCGGTCGTACTTCCGGCGGGCGGTGTCTCGGGCACTAACCGAGACAGGGCTTCCATGACGGTCCCTAACTTCTCGGTCATCACACTCTCCATTCTGGCGGTGGCCTCGTCGACGGCAGTCCTGAGCTCCTCGTGAGTCGGGGCTGCCTTGCCCTTGCCAGCATCTCCAGATAGATCCAGCCGATATGTGTCCGCTTCACCAGGGGAATATGGGGTTAACCTTCGCTCTAGAGTGTTGATTGGTTCCAAGCCTAGTGCTGCTGGATAAGCACGGCTGACCAGGTTGACAGGGAGATGGTAAAGTCGTTATTAGGTTGCCCTCGTAGACAAGCACCAGGAGAGAGTGGGCGCCACGTGCGCCACAAAGCATCAAGCAACAGTCGCAAGAAATTCACCGACGAAAAGACACGCAGACTTTCTGCAACACGGAACAATTCCAACTACAAAAGACATGTCGGGAGATACCCCGAAGATCCACGCCCGTGGAACGGTCACTTGCACACGTCTCGCTCTCAAACCATACATGAGTACTAGATCCTCAGATGGCTCTAGCACTTTCGTGACCACGGGCTGGGAGTCTTTTGCTAGATGTTGGCATTTAGCGACTGACATACGGTTTAATGTGAAGACAACAACAACAACAACCGCAGTAGCGTTCGTAAGGATGACATAATCCACCTCACGGACAGCACTCACTAGACTACATCTAGTCTATCTAGTCTAGTGTGCACAACAGCAGCAGGTCGGGCGCATATTTGAAGTCATTTCAGTGTAGCGCTCTTGCTCGCCACACTCTGCACCGCTGCAGATAAGTGCGCACAGCCACATCCGGAGGTTGTGTTCATCATCTATTAGAACCTTTATGGCATTGTCGTATTAGGAGAAACGAATATACACACAGAAAGACTACCCGTTCGAGGTATAACTACACTCGAAGGGGATGTGTTGAAGTCTTTACAGTGAGTAGAGGAAAACCAGCTGGGTACTTGACTTATTTCGAGTGTGTTTAAGCCTATACACTGGTGATTTATATCAGTGATACCAGTTGGTGCTTAGCACAAAAACATCTGCG